GCAACATGTTGCCTAGTGTATGGAGGGCTTAAGGACAGACAGGAAGTAGAATTTCATACAAAATAATGCAAACAAACACACCTACTAATCAACACCTATACATTAAAATAATAATAAACACACATATCATACAATCTTAATACATTACAGACATACAAATGTAATTCCATACATTTAGATGTAAACATGCATACAGTACAGTTATATTGTATGCAGAATGTGCATGTACTTGTGAGTGTTCAGTAATGGGTATAAAGTGTTTTATTTGTTATTTCAGGTGCATGTAGTAAGTAGATTCTAAAATTAATTGCTTAATATTTAATTATATTTCTGTCTATCTCCTCAGGGTCCCAGTGTATTATTCAAATATGTGGCATTATATGCAGCTCATCTGATAAAGTCCAATGCTTCATTGTCAGCTCTTAAACTTTTCACTACATGTGGGGCGCCTCCTTTACCTCAGAACTTTAACATATACAAGAGGCTCTGCATGGAAGTGTTTGGAGAGAACCTTGAAGGAGGGACAGCGTATCCAACCTACTCTAGTCTCAGGAATATGTTATTCTCTATTGTAAGTACCTGTTAATGTGCAATATAGTACTATACACATACATGTACATTGTACATTCTTACTCACGTACTTGTATATCTTGGAAAAATTCCAAATTGTAAACTTCTGCTATAATTCTATGGAATATGGACACATACAATACACACAAGGATTTATGCATACATGTACATGCATGTACAGTATATAGTACAATGAGTATATGTGTTCATTCATATTATGTTAGTGGACTGAGTTTTCAATGTACAATGTATTACCGTATAGCACTTTAATTTGGCAGAGTTTATTTTGGCAATTGGCAGTTTGCAAGGGGAATTACCATTTATCAAGAGGTATGTTAATTGGACCAGTATAGTGATATTATTTGTGCGCCAAAGTATTTGGATTGTGCATGTACCTGTCCTGTACCTATTTAGTGATTAATTGTGTTCTATCAATAGGCAGTTGGATTGGAAAGCATGGCATTTATATTCTACAACAGATTCCTGGATCTCAGTGAAGTAAGTATAGCCAAGAGTATAGCTATGTTGATATTACTTTTGATTTTCCAATGTCAGGCTATTGAAGAGGGTTCATTGGATATGATTGATAACAGTGATTTTGTTGATACTGATATTCCATTTGAAGTACCATTGCCAGAACAACCTTTCATGACAGTAAGGAAGCATACAGTACAGTACAGCTGAATCTGCACTCTCATTAACATGTATATCCTATACTACAGAAACGTGTTGTAAGAAGTTGTTATCAAACTACTATACATGTAGTTCACTCTCTATAGATAATTTTTATGCCCCTTATGTCAATTATTCTTGCTTTATGTTCACACTATGCAAACACTTAACATATGTACATGTACATGTATGTATACATGTACGTATAGGATTACATTATAAAGTGCTTCTGTTTGTTACAGGAGGATAAACAAGAAGAGATTAAGGAATGGGTACTGGCCCTCTCCATGGACAGACAGGTGACTCATAATGAGAATCAACCCATTAGCTTATTCCTTTAATCATGCAGGTGGAGCAAACACTACCACTTGATGATGAGAGACAGACTTATGTTGCATCACTGACATCACCTCATACTGGAGTCACTTCATTACCTTGCATTGTAACAGGTCCAGCACTAAGATACATGTACATCTACCTTTGGCCAAATATCCTCTAGGCAACTTTGTTATTAGGTATATGTACATGTACTTTATTTTCTGTTGTGCAAAAATCCTTTTTCTCGCAGCAAAGTGTATCAGTAGAGATCAAAGTATAACCACAGAGTTGCCTAGGGGATGGATTTGATCTAATCTATATGTAAACTGTCTGCATGGGATGCAATAATTATGTATGT